CTATATATTTTTAGTTGTCCAGCTAATTTCTTTCTGTTTTTAGTAGACGGGGTCTCACTCTTGCTCAGGCTGGTCTTGTACTCCTGACCTCAAGCGATCCTCCTGCTTTGGCCTCCCAGAGTGCTAGGATTACAGACATGAGCCACCATGCCTGGCCTTCTTATTTTATTGATTAACTGATATTCCCCCAATTTTCTTAATTTTTTCCAAAGAATCAGGATTTTAAATTAATTGTATCGACAGTTTTTCTGTTCTTTACCTTAATTTCTGCTTTTGCTTTTATTCTTCTTTTGCTATCTTTTTGTTTAATTTGTTCTTTTTATAGCATTTTAAACTGGGAATTTCAATTTATTTCCCTTCTTCTATTATGAAGAAATAAGTATTTAAAGATAAGAATTTTCCTCTGATTACTGCTTAAAATATATCCCTTAAGTTTTGATATGTAGCGATCTTATTGTTGTTACTTTTTAGAATTTCTATAATTCAGTCCCAATTTTCCCTTTCAGTAAAGGGTTGTTTAATGTAAATTTTTTAAATTTTGGGGCAGATAAGTGCATTAAAACATTTATTACTGATTTCTGATTTCTACTTTATGGAATTTACTGATGCTTTATTTGTTAATTCATATATGATCAATTTTTAAAATGTATCAGATGTACTTGAGAAGCTGTAGTCTTGCTTACAGGGTGTATAGTTTGATATATATTCATAAGATTGTGTTATTAATTAGGATGAAGGCCTTCTATATTTTTATTTTTTGTCTGCTTTTTTTTGAGTCTGCTTTGTCTTGTACTAAGAGTGGTTTGTTAAAATCTCCTCTTAGATGCATTTCTGACTGTTTCTTTTGCCATCCTCTGTAGTTTCCATTTTATAAAGCTGGGCGCTGCATTTGGTGCATGTATATTCATTACTGTTATATTTATACTGAATATAAATGAATTTAATGCATTTAGCATTAAAAAGTATCCCACTTGTCATACTTAATGCCTTTTGGCTTAAATTCTACTTTAATATCAGAATAGCAACCCATGGTTTCTTATCATTTCTACTTACCTGTATATCTTTCCCTGTCCCTTTTATAGGTGAATCAGTTTGTTTAGGTACATCTCTCAGATATAGTATAGGCTTGGGTCTTGCTTTGTGAGTTGAACACTTTTTTCTTTTAATGGGCAAATTAGCCATCCACATTTATGAATATTACTAAGAAATTTGATCCCAACTCTGTCATACTGTGTTATAACTACTGTGTGCATGTTAAATTTACAGTTTTATTCTCTTGATGTTTTGTTTGCATCTTTATTTAAAATCTTTTTTTTTTGGCATTTAGGAGGTTATCTGTTCTGTTGGTTATCTTTTAATGCTGTTAATCCCTGTTTTATTGATTAATTTGTTTTTTTTTTTAATTTTTTTGGGACAGGGTCTTGCTTTGTCGCCTGGGCTAGAGTGCAGTGGCATCATCATAGCTCACTGCAGCCTCAAATTCCTGGGCTCAAGCAATCCTCCTGCCTCAGCCTCCCAAGTAGCCGGGACTACAGGCATGTACCACCATGCCCAGCTCATTTTTCTACTTTTTAAAATAGATACAGGGTCTCATTCTTCCTCAGGCTGGTCTTGAACTCCTGGCCTCAAGCAATCCTCCCACCTTAGCCTCCCAAAGTGCTAGGATTACAGGCGTAAGCTTCCATGCACTGTGTGGTTTGTTATTTTTAATGGTATTCTTTTGATTTGCAATAATCAGTGAGCTTATTCTGCTTTTTTCTTTTCCTCATTTTTTAGTGGCAATTTTTTTACTTTGTCAGAACATACAACACTTATATATTATTATTCTACACTTGTTCCTGCCTTTGTTTTGTTATATTAAATTTTCACCCTGCTCCTTTTGCTGAAGTTTTCCCAGGGATCATCTGCTAGTAGATTCCACAAGTAGAATACTTGTGGGTACAGTATTCTCTAAATTTTGTATTAATGTTTTCTTTTTTCTTTTCCTCTGTAGTCTTCATACTTGAACAACAGCTTGACTTAGAGAATCCTTGGTTTACAGTTCTTTGAATTTTGAATTTGTTCTCTATTGAGCACCTTATAATTTAGTGTTAATTTTTGAGACCACTTTGTTCTTTGAATTCAGGAAGGGAAAGAAATAAATAAACTCTGGTTTATTATTGTTATTATTTTCCTTTTTTAGGGGAGAATATCTTGGCTTTGCCTTTGAATTTCTGATTCAGGGTGGTTTTTCATTTCTCCAAATGCTTATTTGAAGACGTTTAATTCAGTGTGGATCATTGTTTTACAATATTCTTTTGTTTTGTTGTGTTTTTTTGGGGGAGGTGAAGGAATTTCATCACCTGAGATAATTTGATTTGTATCTTCCAATTTCTTGTTATGGTAGCTTTGTATAAATTTAGGCTGCTTTCACCTATTCATATCATGGATTTGGGTAGTTTACAAAACTCCTAGCACAAGAGCACCCTATTCGTTTTTTGTAGTGAGGTACAATTTCTTTAATGGATGACTTTCTTTTGGTGGGGGGCGGCTTCTATATCCTATTATTTTTATTTTATTTTATTTTTGGTCTCATTTTGTGTATTGCAGGACCCTAAATTTCCCCCTTTTGTTTCTTTTTCTTTTTGCCACCCAGTCTCCTAAAGATGCTTTTCACTCTCTTATTATCTTGTTGTCTCCCCAAAGTGATGCCTTTCTGCGACTGCTCCCTGCTCCCTGTAGTTGGTGCTCTGGTCTACCAGGAGTCTTTTTCAGTTCCTGAACAATTAGGGTATATTTTATTTTCTGCTGGTGATTGTAGATCAACTTTGGACCTCTTCCTCTGCCCATATCCTTCCTTCTACACACATTTTCCACATGTACCTTACCATCCACAAAAGCTTGAGGTAGGAGTGCGAGAGATAGCTTTGTTGGGATTTGGTGTTTATATTTTTATGGTTAATTAGAATGTGGATTTTCTGTCTTCTTGTTATTCTGAGGGCATGGATTTTGTATAGTTTTATTTGTTATTTTTGTCAAACTGTATTTATGAAGGATCAGTGGAGAGATTCAGATTTAGGTAGCTGATATTGTCCTTTAGCTACCAATTCAATATATTTTAACAATCGATTTTATTTGTTTTTTGTATACACCTTTACCATTTGATTCTTTGTCCTATTTAGAAATATTATGATTCAAAAGTTTTTTTTCCTACTTTTAATCCAATTACTTCATTTCTTATCACTTCTGAACAGAATACTTTTGGACAGAATCATTTATTTTTTCTTACTTGTCTTTAGTACATAATTTTGAGAGTTAAATTGTTTTCTGTGCCTAGATGTCACAGCAATTGCTAAGTGAACCTGACTAGAAGGACTTTATCCTTATTCTCTTAAAGGTTTGCAACCTGAGTTCCTCCATCAGTGAAGTAATGGTGGTCTACCTGAATTTTGAGTTCTTTGATAAAGTCATTATCATAACTGTTTCAATTGTTATTCTAAACAATAATGGCTCTTTACTTAAGGAGATTGTAATAGATTCCTCAACTAGGTAACTCTTGGCACAGACCAGTATTAAAACCAATGTATTTAAAAAGAATTAAATGTTGATCTGACAATTGAAGTTTTTTTTGTTTATGTGATTATTTGTGCTTTTTAGCAAGTATTGCTATTTAGTGACTGCATTCACTTAATGAAACAGAATGTAGATTTCAGCCAGAGATATTAAGAGAAAATTTAGGTGAGAGGTGAAGTTTTAATGACATTTTGATTCACTCTTACTCAGATTCTATATCTACCTGCTTGTGTGATATGCTGGGGTTTTTTTTTTTTTTTGCTGTCATTTATCTGTCCTGAGTTTTTCTATCATGATATGCTAAGAAGTAATCTTAAACATTTGAGATTTCTCTAATTCCCTGTTTCCCTTGCCTGTTTGTTAGTGGTTTGAGGTGGTTCCTGTTGATCCTTAATCTAGACCTAATTTGTGATCTTTCTGTACCCACTCCTGATTTCAATTTCCTTTGTGTAGCAGCCAGGGTGCTCACACTTTGGCATGGCTAGAGGTGTCAGTGTGACATTGGGAACAGCAGGTCAGAGGTGCAGCCTGAGAAGGAATGTAATTTTTAGTCCCACACCTGGTGATTCAAAATAATTATAATCATTAAAGTTGATTTTATTTGTAAAATACCTGTCCCTACCACTGTCCTCACCCGCTGCCCCGTAATAATGATGACAGACAGACAAATCTCACATACACACACACACACACACACACACACTGATGGGACATAAAATGAAAGGTTGACAAGTGGTGTACAATTATTAATTCTCTAGTAAAATTTATTCTGATGAGTGATATCATTTCTTTTCTTTTTTAGGAAAATCACCAGCGTGTTAGCATTTTCTTTGACTATGCGAAACGTAGCAAGAATACTGCGTGGCCTTATTTTCTGCCAATGTTGAATCGCCAGGATCCTTTTACTGTTCATATGGTAAATTTTGAATTGATCACATTCTGTCTTTTTTTAATATCATATAAGAAGGAAATTTATTTCTCTAAATTATTATTATTTTTAAATTGACAGATAAAATTGTGTTCACATTGTGATTTAGGTAAGAAACCAACCTGGGCATTTTATGACTTGGTAACATGTCCATTCCCGTAGGACATTAGTTTTCTCAATTGGTATTCGGTGAAGAGGGGACGTTGGGAGTTGGAAGGCCATAGGGTTGCTCTGATGTAGTTAAAGTTTAGACTATAACCAAAACGAGCTTGTTAGCATCAAAGCCTGTGGTGAATTCACATGCGCAAACAGCTCTAGATTGTAGTAGGATCAGGACATTTTATTGTAGAAAAATTAAATTTTTCTTTGAAGAGGCTACTGTCTTTCATTTTTATTTTAATTAAGTAATTGCTTAGCAGTCTTTTAATATCTTAAACACACTCTTGTTTTAAACTTAGCCTGAAGGGGTATGTTTGGAAGCCTGTCTAACACTGAAGAATCTTTCATGGAGTCTGGAGAAGTTCCGAGAGCAGCGTTGAGAGAATAAACCTCTGTAAAAACAAACCTTCTGTTTTTCCAGTGGGGGGTGGGCTGCAAGGTGTATGGTGGATGGCCGGAGCTCCAGAAGTTGCTTGTTTCAGTAGATGTTTTTAGAATTTTCAAATCAAGGACCACTGTCAGTGAAACATTTTTGAGCATATGTTTTTTTTTCTCTCGCTTCCTCCCTTCTTCCCTCCCCTTCCACATCTAATCTATATTCATTTATAAGTATATTCATTGTCATGTACATTGTAAAACATATATGAAAAGAAATTAAGGAGGACTCTTGAAATAAACTGTATTTTAAAGAATACTTTTTAAAAAACCGGTAACAAGGTGAGGCGCCTTGGCACGCACCTGTAATCCTAGCAGTCTGGGAGGCTGAGGCGGGAGGATCAGGAGTTCGAGACCAGCCAGAGCAAGAGCAAGACCCCATCTGTATAAAAAAAATAGAAAAATTAGCTGGGCATGATGGTGCACACCTGCATTCCCAGCTACTCAGGAGGCTGAGGCAGGAGGATCGCTCAAGCCTGGGAGCTTCAGATTGCAGTGAGCTATGATGATGCCACTGCACTGTAGCCGGGGGTGACAGAGTGAGACTCAAAAAATAAAAAAATAAAAATAAAAAACCAGTAATATATTTTATTCTTTCAAATTGTAGAAGCTTATTTTTACTGTTCGGTTTAAATTTTTTCCTAGTGTTATAATAAAATTGACAAATACATTTAAGAACAAATGTATATGTAGAGCAAGTTTCATTATTATTAATTGTGCAGCCAAATCCAAGTTAACTTCTTGATGACTACGATTGCTTTTGGCCAGTCCTTCTGAGTTTGAGGGTCAGACTGTCATTGGTCTACTACGTGCCAATATGGAGCTTATGCTGGGAGTGGAAATATCAGGTCTCCTTTTCCTTTGTCTTTTTCTTTTCACCTGTGAAGGCACTACTGATGATATTTTCAATCCCTAACAGGGATTCCTAACAGTTCCTAATTCTGTTAGGAATCCTTGTAAGTCAGTTGTCTAGTTTGTGAAAGTTAGATCAATTTAAACTAGATAATGTTATCTATAAATCCACTTAGCTGGACACGTGAAAATATCAGTGTGTCACAACTCGGTGAATAAGTGAAGGTGTCCCTGTTAGCCCCTGTGTTATAAAATTCCAAATACACCAGGACACTTGAATCTCTGGCATTCTGACCTTGGAAGTGTGCCTCTGTCAGTCTGGTGTAGCTGTGTTCAAATAAGATGTTTGTAAGAACAAACATCACTCTACCAGCACCAGAAATAAATTATGTTGGAGTTAGCTAGCCTAGCTCTTTCATTCTCTACTAGAATTAATTATTGCTGAATAATTGGAGTTTTAAGACAGTGATTTGTGTTCAGAAAGTACTGAAAGTGTTTATTTAATTGCGTTTGTGTGTGGAGAAGTAGTATTTTATGTTGCCTATTTAATAAAAAAAGTAATGATTAGTTTTATAACTTGAGAAAAATGGAGAAGAAATCTTTGAGGAGAAAAGGGTATTTGTTTATGTTGAGAGAGAAATGATGTTTAATACTTAAGGTATGTATTATACAAAGATACGGTTTTTAAGTATCAGAGCTCACAATGGGCTTGGAATGAGTGAGGGAGTGGCTAGCACTTTGCTGTAGAGATCGATTATAACTTTGGCAAGTGATTTGGTGAAAGTCTGCCTCTAAGAAAAATTTTTATGTTCTTTTGTTTCTCTTGATCATATAATGAATTCCAGTTTTACTTTTAAAACTCAGAATAATAAGGGAAATGTCAAGAGATTCTTAAAACACAGCTAGTTTTGGTTCACTTTAATGGAATATTTAAAAATACATTTTGAATGTTTGTATTTCAAAATATAACTATTATTTTTGGAAGAGTTGAGTGTTAATAGGAATCATGTAGCAAAATGGTTACAAGTTATTTTTAAGGTAAACGATGTGATTTTTAGAATCAGTAAAGTATTCAAATGTATTTCTTATTCGTTTTCAGGCAGCAAGAATTATTGCCAAGTTAGCAGCTTGGGGAAAAGAATTGATGGAAGGCAGTGACTTAAATTACTATTTCAATTGGATAAAAACTCAGCTGAGTTCACAGGTAAAAGAAATTTCTTTTAGTCTCTCTGAAAGGAATACAATATCCATGTTCTCTTAATCTAAGTAGAGTAAACATGTTAAGTTACAAAAAAAGTTTTATTAAAATAATGCCATTTCGAACTTGGTAAGTAAGCCAAACTACTCTAAGGTATAATAGTGTGCTTCGCTTTTCTTTTTTTGACTTGCTTCAATTCAAACCTTTCTATCTTTTCTGCTGCTTGGGGTTTTCCATTTGCTCTTTTTAGGGATCAAGGGTGTATCTTCATTTTAGGTGGCTGCCAAGATTATGCAGGTTGGAGAATTGGAAGCACCTGCAGAACTCCAAAGAGCACGTTCATGTCAGGGTTATGATACAGGAACAGAAACGGTACAGCAAGAGCGCGTGTACGGGCCAGCTTCGGGCTGAGAGCCTTCCCGGCGCAGCTCCCCTGTTTGCCTCAGGATTGGGAATCACCAAGATTTGTGTGAGAAATCTTGGTTTTGCAAGAGCTCTCTGAAAGTTCCTAGTGAGGTCTTTTATGCCCTTTCGGTCACATAACCAGGCCAAGCCGTCTAACCGGTTATACCAGTAGACAAACTGGTCCTGATTGCTGCCAGAGGAGTTTCATTTGCAAACAGCACATTATAGATCATTAGTCAATCTGCTTGCCCTTGTCTGGCCCGGTCTGTACCAGGCTTCCAGGAGCCCCTGGGGAAGCCTGGAGCTGCTGGTCCAGCTGCGAGATGACTGACTTCTGCAGTGGTTTGTCCTCATGATTTCACGGTTTCTTTGTGGGATTGGAGAGTTAGGGCTAAGGTGAAGCATGAGGCCTGCTTATTGGTTGTCTTGGTTGCTTCCGGGCCTCTATAGCCTCTATAGCTCTACTTCTCCATGCAGGAAAATAGCTTACAGGTGTAATGGTTGGAAAAATGACAAGTTTTTACTTTTTGTCTTCATGTTTCCTCAGATCACTGTAAAAGATAGGACACTAATGAAGATTCTATGGAGTGCTTTTTAGGCTTTCAGTGATGAAGTGTTAGGTGGTAAGGGGGAGGTTTGGTGGGAGTGATGCTCAGAAAAGGAGAGAAAGGAAGATGGGGGACGAGTCTTCTGGGGATGAAAGGCGGAAGAGAATGAGATTGTGTTGTGGGGGTGGGTGGCATGGAGGAATGGGACCAGGAGAAATAATACTGATAGTTTGTTAGATTATAAATTAAGTTGTAATTTAGATTTCAGGTGACTTTATTGTAATAGATTTTCATTGGAGGCATAAGAGATACCATGATATTTTGCTTAGTTATACATTTTGTCTTATCATTGCCTGCCTGTTTTGGGAGCCTAAATGGTAGAGGTTTTCATGTCTTGGACAAAATTAAATCTTTTTTATGTCAATAGCATCAGGTTTAACCATTTTGGGGGGCTTAGTTTTAAAAAGTATTTTTTTTTTTTTTTTTGAGTCTCACTCTGTTGCCTGGGCTAGAGCGCCGTGGCGTCAGCCTAGCTCACAGCAACCTCAAACTCCTGGGCTCAAGTGATCCTCCTGCCTCAGCCTCCCGAGTAGCTGGGACTACAGGCATGCGCCACCATGCCTGGCTAATTTTTTCTATATATTTTTTTAGTCGTCCAGGTAATTTCTTTGTATTTTTAGTAGAGACAGCGTCTTGCTCTTGATCATGCTCAGGCTGGTCTCGAATTCCTGAGCTCAAATGCTCCACCCACCTCAGCCTCCCAGAGTGCTAGGATTACAGGCGTGAGCCACCGCGCCTGGCCTAAAAAGTATTTGTATAAGAGCCACCAATTTGCAGATTTTACCGAGTTTGTAAGGTATTTAAAAACTGAGTATTTAAACCATGAAAAAAATAGGTGTGTGAAAATGAGATTTTAAGTTTCTACATGTAGTATATAATTTGGAATCAGAATGATTAGTTAAATATGATATCCCTCCTTTTTCCTACTTTGAAATGATCTCCTCCTTTAAATAAACTATTCTGCTTTCATGTTAGCTTTTGGATATAGTGGTAATCAGGCACTGTTGTAGCTGAATTTGTGAAAGGAAAGTTGGTGGGAAGGATGTGTGCTGTAGTTTGCCACTAGCTTTTTGGGCAATTTTACCTTACACTTTTCCTCATAGGAATAACATTTATAGTGTGCCTCATAGGTGATTAGTCACTTTTGGAATGATCGCCTATGGTTGTCATCATGTCTAACCACTGAGGGGAAATATTTCTCTCTTCACTAGTGGAAGCAAAGACTTCAGTATCTGTAACAGTTTTCATTAGAATTGAGAGTTTTGGGATTAGATAAATACTCTTCAAAACATTTTCTGTATCTTTCTAATGCAGTCTTTTTATCACAGAGTGTTTGGCTTTAAGTTGTGGTTGGCATTTCTGCTTTGCAAGTCCTGCTGCTGCAGGGTGCCGCCTAGGGCTCCTGGCACAGTCTGGCTTTGCGTCTCGGAGTCTGGTTGCTGCTTCTGCTTGGCTCTGTGGCACGTGTCTCTTGCTGTGCGCAGACACTTCTGTACCCTCCAATCAGGATGAAATTGCAGGCTCCTTGTTTAAAAAAAATAACGTAGAATTATTTGTGATTTTATTTGCTATTTTTCTCCAATGTCATGTGATAGTGCTTTGTCTGGAGGTCTGTTTTTCTCTATCATAAATGTTTTCTCCCTCATGAAAAGGACCACAATTTCATGATTCTAATAGAAATAAACTCAAAAGTCCAAGTTTGGCTATTTGTTCTTTTACCTTATTATTATCTTTAGAAGCTTTTTGAGTATTGTAGGGCATTGTACTTGGGTTATGGGGTCTCATGCTTGACACTTAGTAGATAATAGTTATTGAATAAAACAAAATGAAAGTTTCCTTTCAGAAATTATCACTTTTTTCTTTCACTTTCAGCCTCTGACTTTCTGCCTTAACTTTTCTTTGGTCATTTCTGTGTAACATTTGAGATTTTGATTGTCATTACAACTTGTTAGCATTGCTGTGGATAACCTCATTTTAAGTTTCATAATCTGATTGGGTATCTTCCTATCACCAGGCACCTATTTTGAAAAGCTTTGCCACAGAATATAGTATAGATAGTTCAGTTTAAGGTAGACACCTTGCTGGAAAAACAATTCAGTAAGTAAATCCTGAGGCTTGGAAATGCGCACTAGCTTCACCTGTGCTTAGTATTCAGTTTATTGTTCCATTTTTAGTAATTTATTGATGAAGATATTATCTGGAAGAATATAATGACATATAGAATATTTTATATCATCCCATGCTTTTTGTTAAGTAGGATTGGGGGAAAATTATGGAGAAAAATTATTAACAAGAAGTAGGGAAAAAAATTTGCTTAGCTCCCTTTTGTAAGGTGATAAATTAGGATAAAATTAAAAACAAAACTAAGTAATAAGTTATTTATTTCATAATAGAAACTGCGTGGTAGCGGTGTTGCTGTTGAAACAGGAACAGTCTCTTCAAGTGATGTAAGTATATTCCTTCTTAATTCACTGGCCTCCTAACACCCTGAAAATAAATTATTTTGAGTCATGGACATTTAAGATTTTGAAGGTGTTGTACTAGTTCCCAGACTGTGTGGGATTTGATGTGTCACCTTCAGTTAGGCTAATTGTATTGCAAAACTGTATATAAATATTTGTGGTCTGTGGTGATCACTTTTTCTGCGGTAGTCGAGACTTGTTCTTGTCTTACTCTTTTCTTTTAGGCCCCTTTTTAATCAAAGCAACCATCTGAATTCAGATGTACAACTGGAGCGAGTAATCGTAGTTTTTCTTTTCAAACTTCAGTTGTCTGATAAACTGTCTAATATCTATCTAATCAATAGGTAAATAATACATCAAACAATTGAAAGAGATTCAGTTACCTGATGGTACTAAAACTTGCTGCTGCACTATGCAGTTCAAGGTTTTATGCCAACCCCCACCCCCGCTCCCCCTTTTTTCTTCTTTGCCCAATCTCTCCCCACATTTTTGTAGTGTCAAAAGGTTAAAGGTTAAAACTAATCATGACTGTCCAAGTTCCTTTCTTGGCTAAAGTTATGTTTCCCATTTGCAAATGGCTTAACTTTGCTATACTCTTGAAGTAGCTCAGAAACTGGCAGTAAATTTGGACAAGTAACGATGGGCATGATTTGAGCCAGCTGGGAGAAAGATAGGAAAAAAAGAGAAATGTAGCTGAGGTGCATCCAGCTTCATTTGTTGGAAATATCTCTGGGGAAGTGGAAAACATTTTAGAGGGTAGTGTCTGCAACCTGCCTATTACAGACCTGAGTGAAGCTCTGTAGGAGCCATGTAATATCCGTATTGGTTACTGGTCCTCCCATGGTCTGAACGGAACGTAATTGTATGTATGTCCTAAGACCATAGATGGCAGCAGATTCCATTTGCAAAGCCCAAAGCTGGGCTTCTTTTGGGGCATGAATTGAAGGCTTTGAAGAATTACTATTTTGGGCCAGAAAATGGCCATTAGCCTTCTGAAGTGGAATCAGAACAAGGTGTAGAACTGGATGAACCACCTTGGGGTCAGGGTAGGGAAGAGGAAGTGGTGGTGGGTAGGAAATCTAGGTGTTCAGTCAGAAGCAGATGTTTAAATTGGGAATCTTTATTTTATGTGGCTTGAATGTCTACCAGTTTGAAATGTGAAAATTTGTTTAACCTTGTGCATTTTAGGCTTATTGGTAGATTTTTTAAAAAGGTGTTTTCAGAATCATTTGTCTTATAAACTTATCTAAGTGGTTGTTAAAGTGTTTGTAAGTTATTAAAGCTTAAATAAGGAGGTGCAAGCTCTGCTGACATGACGTTCTTATTTTGCTGCTTTCTGTGCAGTGTATTGGAAAAACAAAACCGATGAATTGAACTGGCAGTGTGTTAGTCCGATGGCTTATCTGGTAGATTCATACACATACATCCTAAGTGGAAATTAGCATCAGGGGTAATTGTGAGTAAGAACAAGATGGCCTTTGATTTTCCTTCTTCTTCCCTTCAGTGCCCCTCAAACCTGAACATCTTCTCAGACTCTTCCTGAAGGCTCTTACTCTTTCAGACAGCTACCCACTTGAAAAGCAACTTTATGAGTTAGAGTAGGGTGTCAGCCCTTCCTTTGATGCTGATTTTTTTTTTTAATTTTCAGAATCTAATTTAATTCATTTGGTAAGACCATAAACCAAAGAAAATAAAAGATGGCAAGGAAAAGAGAAGTATACACCAACCAATAACAGGTTTCATTTTCTACTAAGAAAATTAATAAGATTTAAAAAGAGAATGAGGCAATTCATTTTGATTCTGTGGCAATAGTTGAAGCTTACTTTTTAACCTAGTCAATTTTACATTTCCAGATGCTATGAAAAGCAATGTATGCAGAAAGCAACACCAATGGGGATTCGAGTATTTCATTTTCCCGACTGTAGTGATGATTTGGATCTTACTTTTTCTGAAAGTGTCTTTTAAAGAATTCTTCAAGCTGTTGGGAGAAGGCTGGCTTGCAGAATTAAGCAGTAGGTCTGCACGTGTTGCTGTAAGAGGTTGTAGTTGATTGATGTTGCTGAGAACTTCTTTTGCTTTGGCTGTGTTTTCAGGTGAACAGTAAACAAACTGATATCCAATATTTCTTCTTCCCATTTCAAACCTATGGAGTAGTTTCTGAAGACCACTGTTCTTAAATCCCGGAAAACGGGCTGTGGGGGCTCCCACAGTGATGGCTGTGTAGGGAGCGTCTTTCAAGTGAGGGCTCTGTGTGTGCATTCTTTGCAAATGTAGATTTACGAGAACAAATTCTAATGTTTTCTCTCCTTTGTTGCTGCTTGATTTGAAAGAGGACCCTGTTTCTTTGCTAAGTTCTGTCAGAGTATCTTCGTACATACTCACCAATCACAGTGAGTAAGGACATGTTTTTTGTAGATTGACCCGGCGTGGAGAAAGTTTACCAAGTTCTTTTAGCTCCCGGTTTCTATACAAATCTTCTTTTATGTGAGGGGAAATCAATTCCTTAGGAACATGAAAAGAAAGTATGCTCTCTGATGTCTATTCCCTGATTTGCATCCGCTTGCTGTCGATCATGTGGGAAATCTATATAATTTACACACTGGGTTCTTAAACACTGTATTCAAAAAAGGTCACATTTCTGGGGCTGTACATTCACAAACCAGTGTACACTTTTGTCCCCGCACATCTGTTGTGATATGGTCAGCTTCCTCATCCTCAGTCTCCCCCATCTTCACAACACTGACTTCTCTGGTGCCAGCCACTTCACCACCACCCCAAGTTCTCAGGCTCAGGGCCAGGAGTTGTTCTTTGACTTCAGTAGCTCCCCCACTTTAAAACTGGCGGAGCCCAAGAAGCTTTGCCCACCTTCTGGCAAGGGATCCTCACGTTCAGGTAGGACACTGGCTTGAATGTTTCGCAGTTTGTTATAAAGGATATTACACAGGATTCAAATGAAGAGATGCGTAGGGCGAGGTATGGGGGAAGGGAGTGGAGCTTCTGTGCCCTCCCTGGGTGCACTACCCTCCAGGAACCTCCATGTGTTCAGCTCTCCGGAAGCTCCTATCACATGTGTTTCCATAGGGGAATCTCATGGCAGCTGATGTTTACTGAGCACTCACTGCGTGCCTGGCACCGTCTCACTCATTTTGCATATATTAATACATCTCCTTGCGTATTTACACTTCCTCTGAGATGTGGGTTACAGCATTAGCTACGTTTCTTGGATGAGCAGTGAGGCCAGGCAGAAGAGCACGCCAGCCTGCCTGAGGTCATGTAGCTAATGAGTGGCAGAGACTCCAAAGGAATGAGTTACATAGAGAATTACTTTTGAGTCAGCTGAACTGGAATTGGATCTGTAGGCATTCCTCAAGTCACATTGCCTACTCAGACTTTTTAATATATGGATGTCGTGTCTTAAAATCCTTTTTTTTCCACAGTGGGGAAAGTAGTTTAGTAAACTGCATTACCTGTTATTGCCACTTGATGTCAGTATAAACAAAGTTTTACACTGCAAAATGAGACATAAGCATGATTCAACAGAATTATCTTTTAAAATGGCAACAGAAGCATCATCTATCTTAAGTTACAAGTGAATGATTACATTTTAATTTAAATGAAGGTACGTAAACAGAATTTCCTTATAATGTATTATTTTGTCTTCTCTAATTGTGGAAATAATAGATGACATCAACCTATGTGTACTTACCTTAAAACCGTTCAGTTCTTTTCTGGTTTTTGTTTGTTTGTTTGTTTGTTTGTTTGTTTTTTAAGATACCTGGGCTAGAGTGTAGTGGCCCAATCATAGCTCACTGCATCCTCAAACTCCTGGGCTCAAGTGATCCTCCTTCCTCATCCTCCTGAGTACCTGGGACTACAGGTGTGTGCTCCCTACCAACGCCTGGCTAATTTTTCATAGAGATAGGGGTCTCCCTATGTTGCTCAGGCTAGTCTTAAACTCCTGGCCTAAAGCAGTCCTTCCACCTTGGCCTTCCAAAACTGCGAGGATTATCGGCCGGGTGTGGTGGCTCACTCTTATAATCCTGGCACTTTGTGAGGCTGAGGCATGGGAGGATGGCTTGAAGCCAGGAGTTCGAGACCACAGTACCAGGATTACAGGTGTGAGCCACCGCACCCAGCTTCGTTCTTGAATGTGAATTATAAATCTTCTCTTCTGAGGAAACAGCACAGCCTTGGAAGTAGATTGTTGTGTCGATGGCCTGATCCCTCACAAACTTCACAAGATTTAGAAAGAATCTGGGAATTTCTGTTTGTTTTTCCTTGTTTTCCTTTTTCCCCTGCCCAGCTTCATTTGTGTAGCACACATATGCAGGAGAATGAGATGACTCCCAGCTCCTGTGTTTGTCCGTGTCCTGTTTTCTGACTATTTTTGTTGCAGACTCAGTCTAGCATTAGTTATTGCTAGATGGACATTGTTTCACTGGCAGTAGGTGACTTGGTTAAATCGTCAGGTTCTCCTTCTTGCTTGTTTTGTCTTCTCGATGTTCTGGAACAGTTATGTCCAGCAGGACTCCCTGCGATGTTAGAAATGTTCTGTATATCCACACTGTCCATTATGGCAGCTCCTGGCCACGTGGCTCTGGCGTACTTAGAAATGTGGTTAGTGTGAGTGAGGAAGTAAATTTTCAATTTTATTTAGTTTTTAAAAATAGTTTTATTGAAATATATTTTACATACCATAAAATTCATTCATTTGCAGTTCAGTGGTTTTTAATACATTTAGAGTGTACAACCATTACCATCACACTCTATAACATTTCAACACCCCCCAAAAAACCCCAAAAACCAACTCTGTACTCATTAGCAGTCTTCCCCATTTCTGCTGTCCCCTCCCAACCCCTGGCAACCAGTAATCTACTTTCTGTCTCTGGACTTGCCCTTTTGGGGCATTTCATATAAATGAAATCATATAAATGGTCTTCTGTGACTAGCTTCTTTCATTTAGCATTATGTTTTCAAGATTCATA